TTCTGCTTCCTACTACTACTTGCCCTTAAGAGGAAAATAACTCTGGTTGGTCTTTCTCCTGATTCCAAAGCTCTTTTCAGCCTTCAGACAAGGAATAACATGAAAACCTCAGCTGCAGCCTTGATAGGCTGCTTTCTTCTAGCCAGGAAAAAAAGAACTGTTTCACTCTCCATAAAGAAAGTAAGAAATTATTTTAGACCTAAAGCTCTTCACCATATTTCAATTCTGTCTCTAGCTTTTATCAAACTCATTCTTCCCTTTCACAATTGACTCGTGGTTCGAGAGTTAAACAGCAAGCGTATGATTTTTGAATGAGGACTTGCACAGCTTCATCAAGGAGCTCTACACCACTTTTGAGCACAATGAAACAGTGAGTACTTCAGAAAATGAAAGCAGAAATAAAGATCATAAGAAGCAACATTCACATTACTTTCATGAGTTAATTTGACTTCTGTTATTGTATTCTTACCTAACTTGCTGATGGGGTAAAAGTAAAAATAATAAATAAATGTATGAAAACATCTAGTTTAATTTAAATGACTGTTTGAGAACCTATGAACTGTATCAGATTTAATCAGATTACTGATGGAGAAGAGCATAATCTTTCTTCCAACACAACAGCTGTTGAGAAGTTGCCATAATAACAGTTACTTTTAATTAAGTGAATAACATCAAAGCCTTATTAACTTCATATCAATAATGCAGCTTTGATTCAGAAGTTACTAAAAAGATGATCCCCAACTTTTTTTTTTGTTAAGACCAGTTTGTGAACAGCAATGATTTCAATCCTAAAGTCAGTTTGGGGTTTTTTTTCCTCTCCTGAACTTGGAAAAGCGTAAATAACAGAAAACACTCTCCCAAAGTCAAGAAATGCTACCTATGCTTTGACAAATGCTTCTAAAATATACTTAAAGTACTGTACACACAAAATAGAATTGGAAAATACCTACCCTGATACTAGAGATATTGCTAGTTAAAAAGTTTCAATATATATAAAGCTAGTATATTTCACTAAAAGGGTTGCTTTGGTAATTTTGAAGATCCAGAAGAGTAAGCAGAAAAACTTCAGTTTATCTTTTGCTCTTCCTGTTTCTCTCTGTAATTGAATAATGGCTTCATATTCATTCATTCCTTGCTTTCTGAGCGCATGATTAGTTTGTGAGAAAAATTAGAGATCACTGTTCTTCCTTTTAAGTATCAAATTTTAAGGCTATTTAAAATGGAGTGCTACACATACACAGACATTAGATGAATGCTTGCAGTAAGGTATTAGGAATCACATTACAGGCATGACAGAGGAAAAAAAACAGATACATATGCTGCTATCATTTCTGTAAAAGCCCTTATTCGTCCTGTAAAGCAGCAAAACTGCTTCCAGTAAGTTCTTTACAGTATCAGGCAAAGTTTTACAGGGAACAGCAATAATCACATCATAACAATCATGAAGATCAACACAGTGGAAAAGTGACACAAGAGGTGTAACAGCAGAGGAGCTAGCACAATGGAAAGGGAAGGAAAAAAGGTCTACTCACCTCTCACTGAAGATCTAGGCTCACAAGGAAACTCCACAAAAAGAAAAAAAAAAAACCTCCAGAAAGAGACCTTTCCAGAGTAGGGATCAGCCCTTAAATGGGGTCTAAGAGAGGTGCAGCCAGGCTCCACCCCTTCTAGTCACACAGCTAAATTGCCTTCACCTGTGCTCCCAGGGCTAACCGGGTCCTTTCCCCAGGTGCTCAATCAGTGTTTGGGACGTGACTCAACAGTTACCATACACACATAGAGAAAGAAAAGTTGAAACACCCAGTTGGTGATAAGGATCTCTGCCTGCAGAGCATACCACCTCAAGAAGTAACCTTCCTCCAGAAGACATTCTCCTTTCAGCGGATAACCTGTAAATAAAAAAGCCCCAGGGGAGGCGTACCCTTGGATCACTTATTCTGGTCATGTGGGAAGCACAGGTAAATTGTTTGCACCTGTGCTTCTTGGGCCAGCCTCCCACCAGATGCTCAATCAACAGCTCAGGCCATGACCTGTTTCCCCTACAGCTCTCACTGCACTTTTTACTACAATCTTTACTTGCTTAGTTCTGTTTTTAAAGCTTTCAGGGTCTTATAAAACTATGTAAGTTTTTAAACAAATATTTGTCATGTTTTAAAGATAGCAATCAAATACAACAGACAAATCTGAAGATGGCAAGCTCTTTGTCCTGTGATCGTCCCCTGTGATTGTCCTATCTCATCTTTCTTTGTGATGTTACTTTTAGAAGTAAATATCCACACTAAGAGAATATGCCTCAGAGCCCTATGTGTATACATGCAATGCAAGAAAACTATAAAGAACTTTTCTACCTCTCACCAAGCACCAATTTTCTCTTTTTCCTACTGTCTGTTTTAGCATGTAGATAGCCTAGGGGCACTGCTGGACTTTTCCTTAAATACCTTCAATGTTTTACTCTTTGAATAAACTACTGCAAGTTTTAAACATTGTCTTTTCTCCTCCAGGCAAATACAGTAACTTTTACTTTATTTGGCAAGAGCCAGTATCTGTCAACAACAACAAAATTCTGCTGGCACCAAACAGTATCTTGAGATGCAGTAGTTATGAGTGCTGTTCTTAAGCTGCTGGGTAGATTGTCTGTATGTATTCTAAGAATATCCAGCTTCAATGAAAACTGTTCATATCCTAAGGCAGTTCCACAGTGCTGTCAAACTTCTCCAAACGATTGTCTAAATGAAGTTAAACTATGACAATAATTATGGTATTGTGAATGGGCAGATGCACCTTTGCTGATGGACCTGACTACCTGAAAGAAACCAGAGGATTTAAGTGGGTATGGAATGACAGCCTTGGAGGAATTTATAATTTTCAAAACAAATTTATAAAATAATTTGCTGGCTTTTTTAAAATGAAATTTTCAAACATTTTATTTCTGAATTTAGGCAGGGTCTTGGTCCATTGTTCTCTGATATTTCTCTGTTGTTCATGAACTGTAAAACATATTTTGTTTCTTTGGGCAAAATATTTTGGAAAAAAAAACATTCAGGAAAGAGACTGGATAGTGCTTTTTATGGTTATAGAGCTTTGAAACTCTACAACTCATACACTATGCTGAACATTTCTGAAGGCATCCACATATTTTCAGATCTTTATTTTTCTCAAGTCCTACTTTCTAACATATACACACAAAAAAAAATAATAGTATGCCTTTCTGACCATTGGAGTTACGAGAGTTTGGAGTGTTCATCTTCTGCATCTTTCTGTTCTCTCATGAGTTCCATTCAGAGAAATTGATGTTAGTATGGCTTAAAATTACATTCAGTTTAAATTAGTCTATTTTTGCCATATAATAATATCCCTTACCACCATCTTTTATTTTCAAAGCTTTGTTAATTGCAAATTTAACAAATGTATTTAAGCTGTGTATTGTTGTTCTGAAGATAATACATTAATCCAAGGGAGAAAATGCACACAAAACAGAGTTCGAGCATTTGGATGCTGGGAGCTCTACTCTTGCAAACCAATCAGATACATTTCATATCAAATGTCCTGCAACACAAACTAGTACAGCGAGGCAGGGAATCAGTGCTCGTGCACAAGGTCTGAAAAATGGAAACAAACAAATAAAAGCATGTATATGCTTATCATAATTCTGGGGAAAACTGTCAGACTGGTATCTCTTAGTGTGCTGCCGTCACTTTTCTGTTTCAAATGCATTCCTAAACACTTTTCATAAAGTCCCAAATCTTTATCATTGGACACTTCAATATGAAGCTCACCAACAATGTTTTACACAAATCTTGAGTTCAACTTCTAGTGAAAACAAAGTGCACACAGAATTTGGATTATTGCAGCTTCTCTAATTGAAATTCACTTGTGTACGTGAGCCAGGAAGGGGTAGAACCTTATTAAATGGTTAGCATTGGAATGTCTAATTGGAAATTAGATGTGGAATTAAAAACCCAACCTGCTGTAACACATCGCAGAAGCTGTTTGCAGAAAAATATCCAGTTATAAATTCCCTGATCACAAAATACAGTTTATTTGATAAGCAAATAAGCTTATTTGCTTATCAAACAACAGGAACTGTTACTTATATAGCAGCATAGAGTAAAGTTATTTAGTAACACATCTGAATTCACATTTTTATTTCAGCAAACTTAATTAACCATACTTAGTCATGTCCTTTAAGGGTAAAAGCAGTCATCCTTTCAGGAACTGCACAGATTGTATTCAAGGCCTGAGCATTGATAGAAGACTGGTTATGGTCTGTTTATGCAAGAAACAATCATCACCGAGACACTTGTGAATGCCTTATGAGGTGCATGTTAGGAAAAGGCATGCAGTGCTCTACCTTCAATCCTAAGGACCCTGAGTATTTGTTAAGCTCGTGGAATTTATTATATCCATTCTTACCTAAAGGGCAGCAGGAAAAAGAACATTTTCTATGTGTAAACAGTCTAGAACTGGCTGCAAGCCTGTTAAATACTGGCTCAATTCGAGCTAAAATTAGCTTCCCATTGTGCATTAAGTTAGTCCTACAAAAAGATGTGCTTGCAAGGCTGTTTTAGGGAACAAAAGGAAGCCTGCGGTCTCTATGCAGGTATTTGAAGCCATTAGAAGCACATTTTTAAGAGCAAAAACAAATAAGGCATTTCCCTTTATGACCGTAAACTGGTTTCCCCCATGTTATATCGATCATGGATTTAATTTGGTGTTTGTACACCGGTTGAGGGGCAGAGGGAGATTTCTGGAAAGAATGAGAGTAGAAAACTTCCTTGAGGCAGAAAACCTCAGGGGTGTCAGAATGTTCTCATGTCTGTTACAAAGACAGGTCTGACACGTGCAGCCAGACTGGCTACACGTGATAGATGTCAAAGCAGGCTGGTGACACGTGTTGAGAAGGCAGGGAGTGGTGGGCAAGATGCTCTTGTATGTGCTGGAGATCCTTGACTGCTCTGTAGGTCTGAGAAGGCAAAACCCTGTTTTCCCTGCCGAGTTTGTGCTGCGTGACTATTGTTTAAATAGTACTGGAACTACTATCAAATTCACGCATCAAAGCATGTGCAAGCATTCAATGCAATGGATGGCGAGCTTGGAAATGCCGTGGTTACGGACTTCCCAGACGTGACTATCGTGTGTACTTTTGTCTTTTTAGCGATGAAGTAACCGTTCTCTCGGGGATAAGACTCAGGATCCCTCACCCGCTCCCCGCAGCACTTACGCTCCAGACCGCTCACAGCTCCGTTGCCCATCTCTGGTCACGCTCCACCGCCTCAACGCCCGTCTTGCAGCGAGTGCACCGCCCAGCCCCGCTGCCCATCACAGCGACCGGCACCGCCCTCCCCAGCCCCTCCGGGCGGCGGCGCTTCCGCTCGGCGCAGCGCAATGGCCGCGGCCGCCTTCTGCTCACCGTGCTCCGCGCTGCGGCCGGGCCTGGCCCCGCTGTGCCGATGGCGGGCCCTGCCTCGCCTCGCGTCCCGCCGCGCCGGCAGCGTCCCCCGGAGCGCCGCCAGGTACGGCACGCCGCCTTCCTCCTCCTCGTCCTCCCCGCTCCTCCTCCTCGCGCTGTCTGAAGGGCCCTGCCCTGCCGGTGCTCGTGTTCCCGGGCGGGCCGGGCGCGGATGGGGCTCAATTTTGGGCAGCGTCGGTATTTCTGGATGACCGCGCGCTGCTGCTGCGCTCACCTGCCGGGAGCTGCTGCTTTCGGGCACGCGTACCAGCGCGTGCTCGCATCGGCTCAGCGTTAGGGATGCTTTCGTTGGGAAATAAAGCGTGGAGCAGGCTGGGGAAGATCCTGTTGTGACAGCTCCTGCTTTCAGGCTTGTCGTGTAGACGCGGGTGTAGGACGCGGATGTAAGTTAGCAGCTTACCGTTGCGTGATGCCCGCACGTCGCAACCGAGGAGGATGCAGAACCGTGGATGCGGTGGGGTGGAGGGCACAGTGACGGTGCTGGCTGCTGTCCCACCGCTCAGGGGCTACACGGGGTTGTTTTCAACGGGGATATGTTGATTGCAGTGCCTGCACTGGCTTGCTGCACTGCAATCTTCCTCTGCACCTGATGCCTTACTAATCGCTGTAGTTCTGGAGTCCCGTCCCTGTTCAAGGAGTTAAATGAGATTTTAAGCCTGTGAAGCATCGGCACAGAATCACAGAACCGTTATGATTGGAAAAGACCTCTAAGTCCAACCGTCAGCCCATCCTCACCATGCCTACTAACCATATCCCTCAGCATCGCAACTCTAGGTTTTTGAATGCCCCCTGGGACTGTGGCCACACCACTTTCCTGGGCAGCCTAAGCCAATCCACCACTGCTCTTTCTAAGAGTAAAATTATTTCAAATGTCCAACCTGACATTCTCACCATATGTTGAGGAATTGCCTTTTTTCTTGTTTAGCTGTGCTCCTAAACATATACAGGTGTGAGCTATTATGTGGCAAGTTGTTAATTGGAAGTTATTGCACTCTTGTCCCATAGTTTCTTATAATAGAGGCAATATAGATTGCAAAACTTTGTTCTGCATGTTCTGTAAGTACAGCCTTGTTTTCTCCAAAGAATATGGCATAGACAAGAGAGAAACCAAACACTGGTCGGGCTTGTACAGGTGGGAAGTCATTCCAGTCTTAATCTGAACCAGGAGGTTTTATTACTTTTGCAAGCTACCTTCCAAAATGATTGTACAACTTTTTCTTTTTTTCCCAGAGTGTTTTTTATTAGGAGCTGGAAACGTATTTCTGTTAGACAAAACACAGTGCACATTTCCACATACTCTGAATTTGTACATTTGTCTTAGAACTCTAGACAAAATTCTGAACCTGCTAGAAATTAATAATAATGATGAGAAATAATAAATTCTGCTGCCTTCCTAGAAAGCAGAGGCAAAATGCCAGCACAGGTTCTTCTCGTATGTGTTGTGTCAGGCAAAGTTCAAGTAACAGATATCAAAGTAATTGAGCACAAGATGTAAAAATAAATTTAATTGCCAGAATTAATTGCTTGTTGAAATCTTTCCTAAGAATAGTATGTTGGCTTGCTGTCATGATAATCAAATGAGATAATCTATTGTCAATAGAACTAATCTTAGGGCATCTCTCAGTGGTCCTCATTTGACGCAGCTGTTTAAGTGCTGGTAGAGATCAGGGTTTGTGTAACTGAAATACATATGGTTAATGATAAACATGAGGTGGTCTTTTCTGTTGTATTTAACAGCAGAATGGTAGTGCGTGAACTGCTGTATCTGTGTACAAGAACATAATCTTTGTATTCTAAGTAACATAATATTTATTGTATGCTTGTTTGTTTGTTGCCATTAGATTTGTAAAGATTTAGATACTGGCTGAGATGAGGCCAGACTCCTGGGTGCTTGGCCACTGAGGTGGTCATCAGGGAAGGCTGACAAAAAGGTCACATGTGCTGCCTGCGATGGTTCTCGAGGTAGCCATATTGACAAGTTGGGTATAGTCATGCAATTTTCCAATAGAAGGTCAAGCTGGTGGGTATGTGGGGCCCTTCTAATTGCTTATGACTCGTGACAACTGGAACACTGGCTTGCTGAAGCTGTATAGAACTACTGTGCTGTGCTAAAAAAAAAAAAAAAAAAAAAAAGCTGAATGAATGGCTTTGTACTGAGGTTGGCTCTTCCCTTTCTTTGTGGAGAGAAGAATGCTTTACTTGACAAACTTATTATCTGTATCTCCCTGAGCTGCTCCATTTTCCAAGGATTTGTCTCACTTGCTCCATGGTTCATGGTCAATCTCCAAAGTGCTGGCTTGGTATTTCAGCCAAGTATTCCTTTTCTTTATACTTTATTTTCACTGTGATACTCTCTGAGACTGGGGGTTGCTCTCCTGGCTGTTTGCTGTAAATGTGTCTGCTCATTAGCATCTCACTCCCAAGCACCTCAAAGTTAGGAGTATAAAAAAATAGAGCTACTCTTTGAGTTGATACTTCATTTTGTGTCTTCTGAGTGTCTCTGTTGTAACATCAAAAAGGGATGGCTCACAGACAGTCGGACTGTTGTGCACCTTAGTGCAAAGACTTTTTTGTTGCTTGTTCGTTTCTGCATGTGTGAACTAACGTGGCACTGACTTGGTACCTGGGGTGCCCCCGAATGAGTTTCCGTTCAAGTTTTTCTCCTTTGTAACTTATTGTCACTTAGGCTTGTGAGAGTTGCTCAATGCTATCTTCAGGAAGATCCAAGCATGGGGGAACCTGTCAGCAGGCTCTGATAAGAGTATGTGCATTGTATCCTTGCTTATAGGATGCGAGAGAGTGTTTTCTATTTGTGTGCATGCATGGTTGTGAGTTGGTTTTTTTTTTGGCTGGTTGGTTGTTGGGTTTTTTTTGTTTTTGATTTTATAGCACTGTAGTTCTCTTCATTTGCTTTGGATTTTTTGATATTTTGATGGCAGAGGGGATGGAGTGTGATGGGGTGAATAGAGTCCAATTTCAGTGTGGCAGATCTTTGAGACCTACTCAATGAGTATGTGGTTATATCTTTAAGAGAGAGGCATACACTTAAAATCAGTTCCCCAAAGTTGAGGAAAATGAATACTTTGGCCATGCATTTAGAGCAAGAATAGCATAAGCAGCTTTTGTGTGTGGATTGAAAATCTTTTTTTGGCACCAGAAGATTGTTAGCTCTTTCTATCCTTAAATATTTATGCCATTGCTACATTGTACTAACTACAATAACTAAGCACTATTTGGCCTAAGAAGTACATGGAAACAAATGTCTTGTGCCAATGCCATACATGGCCTAAACATAACAAATGGCAAGGAGAGAAATGGGAAATGAGAAAGTACAGAGCAGGCCATTAGGAAAAGAATAAAAATACATGTATTGCTTTAAAAACAAAGAATTAAAGTTAAGCAGCACCAAAGATAACCTTGGAGGTATCTAAAGCTGGAGTGAAATTGAGGTTAACAATGTGCTCATTTATTGTGTTGTATGATTCTCATTTTATTGCTCCAAAGTTATGTTATTTGAAGAGGGTGAGCAGTAGGAGAAATTCAAGAGTTGGGTATTCTTAGTTCTGGTCTAGAACTGTGTGGTTTTGGATACTTTGTTTTTTCCTGTGCAGCAAAGTCCTCATAGAACTGCTCTGTGATAATTAATACAAGCGTAGCCTGGATTTCTTCATCCGTCAGTCAGATATACTTGTATAAATGAATTGTACTTGTATACTTGTATAAATGAAGCCACAGTTTGGGATTTGGGTACTTTTGAGGATTTCTTCCTGCTTCAATCTCCTTCTTGCGTACCTTCCTGCTTTTGTTTCCCACCCAACAAAATCTGTGTTTAACGTCTGTATTACATGATACAGCAATGGCAGTATCGTAGCATTTGAAAGCCATGTGTGCTGGAGGCTTTTCACTTATTGCAGATTGATGGGGTGAATGGGGTTTCCACATCCCTGCTTGGGGTCTTGATGATAGCAATGAGAGAGAGGAAAAGGGGGTGGGTGGCAGGTGCTGAGGCAAGCGCAAGGCACAAGGCTCTTTCTTCACCTTCCCTCTGTCTTTCATGCAGGAAGCTGCATGAGTATTTTTTGAGTAGTATTGGAATTACTATCAAATTCGTGCATCAGAGTATGTGCAAGTATTTAATGCAGTAGATGGTGTGCTCAGAAGTGCCGTGGTTATGGACTGTCCAGATGTGACCATTGTGTGTACTTTTGTCTTTTTAGTGATGAAGCAGCCATTATCTCAGGGACAAAGCTCGCTAAACAAGTCTTGAAGGAAGTTCAAAGGGATGTGGAATCATGGATATCCTGTGGGAACAAGAGACCTCATCTCACTGTCATATTAGTAGGAGACAACCCAGCTAGTCATATCTATGTCAGAAATAAGGTAAAAGCAGCTGCAGCTGTAGGTATGTACTAGGTAATATAAGTGTTCCTTTGGTGAGCACAGGATGCTGTTCTTTAAAAAATTCTAAAAGTGGGAAAGAGAACCCCTTTGGATCTTCAGCTCATGTCACACCTTTTTCCTCACCTCTGATTTACCTAAGGTGAAAAAGTTGCAATGATATACAAAGGAAGTAACTCTTATGTCATGTGCATGGTAGGCATAAATGTAATGGTGCACCTTAAAATGTTACTGGGAGGTAGTTTGCATTGTTACTTTTAGAAACTGCAAATGAAAGGTGAGTGCTGGGGATTAACGTTTTGTTTCATAACATCACATTTACCTTCGTCTGTATGTGGTGCATCTCATGCAATTTCTGGCTTGTTGGATGCTGTAGGTCTGCAGTAAAGCCAGGCAATCTCATCCAAAACCAGAGTTTCACAGTTGTATAGGTAAAGGGCAGAGATTCAGATATAAATCAAATAGTAAAGCTGAGGGACTGATTACCTGGTCTGAATCACCTCAGAATGGAAGAGCATCACAGTTTAATCAGAAAGCATTCTGTTGCTTTTGATGGAGCTGCAGTGTTGTCCTGTGACTTGAAAAATCTGTTGTAAGTTTGGTCCTGCAGAAGTAGAGGAGCCATCAGATGGTGCCAGCGTTACTAGCAAAGCTAGGTCCATTTGGTTTTACTCATGATTCTCAAGAGCATAGTTATAGACAAATTATTGTATGCATTGATTTCCAAATATTTTTTGTCTTTGTTTTAATTATGAAGCTGCTGTGTCAAATTACTAACTTTGTTGTGAGATTGCTCTTGATAACTGAAAATATAGCATTAAAGACCAGAAAGTCTTATTCAAGACAGTTGTTGAACATTTAACAGATTTTTATGCAACGTGAGTAAGCTCTCTCTAAATTTCCTGATACAAATAAGTGTCTTTCTTTTTCTGTCAGGAATTTCTAGTGAGGTCATACTGAAGCCTAAATATATTTCTCAGGAAGAACTCTTGGATATGACATTAAAACTCAACAAGGACTCAGCAGTTAGTGGTGTATTAGTTCAGCTGCCTCTCCCAGGTGGGTGTTGTCTCACTCCGTACGTGTGATCTATGTAAGAGGAAAATGTTTGACAACTTTTACTGTTGCAAGTGCATCATAGTGACATCAGAGGCTCCAGAAAGAGAGCAAATATTAATGGAGGGTTAGATGAAGAGATGCCTTTTTCTGTTATTGTATAAATAGCAAGTTTTCCCTCACCTTTGTCAAGTTAACTTCTCTGATTTTATTTTATTTTAGTTTTTCCTACTATGTTGCAGTATTTTGTCTTGAATACCAAAACCTTTGTCGTGTGTTCATCCCCTGCGTTGTGCCAAAGTACACTGCTCAGCACATAGTGCTACAGTCTTTCTCAGAGTGGTTCTTGCTGGTGCCCTCAATGTTCATTTGCCTGTTGTGTGCTTTCACCAGTATTTGAGATGAGCATTGTGCTTAACACCTGAAAGCCTCTAGCATGCTCCTGTTGATTGTTTCCCCACTCCTGTTCTGTACTATAATCTCACTTTTATGAATCAGTTGGCAGCAGCTGGTAATGTGGTACTTAGTGCTAAAATTTGTAGCTCTTCATATCAGTCTCTAACTTCATTAAACTAGTGTATACTTTCTCTTAGGGATTTGCCTAAGCTATGAGAGTCATTGTAATAGACTGGGTGATGTGTTGAGTTTCGCCCTCTTTTTTTATTTCCAAATGTTGTCTTTTATCACATATTTAGACTGTGGACACTGAAGGGCAGGAGCTGTCTCTGGCTTTGTTTTTTTTTTTGAGTACATGGAAGAACTGAAGGATGTGCTTTGTTTACGTTTGTAATCACAACCAGTGTTCATTGCTAGTAAGTTCTGTCACTTGTATTACATGAGAAAACTGATGGTTGTGGACAAGTTTGCCATCTGCTGCAGTGAGTTGGCCACTAGGTGGAAGTAGAATACAAGGAAGGAGGAGGAAAAGCTGGGCACAAAGTCGGGAACAACTTGAAAAGGTGGGCTGGTTTGGGAAACACCTATCCCTGCTATAACAGATTAGAGCAAACAGGTGATTAAATGAATTGTCCTTGATATTAAGAACTTATGTTAAGTACTGACAGCCTAGGGATAGAAATCTTCCTCTCTGTGTGTTGCATAGTTCGCAGACTCTCCATCTGGATTCCCAATCCACTGCTATGTTCTCCAGGAATGGGGAGTATTGTGCACATCTTAGTTGCACTGATACTCCATCAAATGGTTGGGTACCACTTGCAGGAGTACTTTTTTGGGGGATAGATACGAAGTCATTGCAATCCCCTCCTGAGCAGTCTGCTTTAATAGTTTAGTAAGGGACTTGAGCCTTGCAACTTGTCATTTTTAAGCTTGTTGAACGTTGAAGGAAGGATCAGAACATAATTCTAGTACGTCAGTTTAAATATCTGTTGCTGATATGTTTGAATGTTTTAAATTCTCAGGTAAGTGGTGAGCTTCCCTACAAACTGTGGTATGTCTGTTACCATAACCACATTAAGAATAAATAGTCTTTCTTCAGCCTGTGAAACTTGCTGTTTTGGGGCTGGCTGCTGCCTACCTTACTAAAACCTTAGAGGCATTTGATCAATTGTATAACATTTTCAGTGTTACATTGTTCATATACTTATCTAGTAAAGGTAAATATCCAAACCATCATGAACTGAATATCCTCAGGAAATTCTTTCTACAATAGATGTTGGATATAACTTTGATTACTGAGTTACTATTACTGCTGAAACACCATGTTCCTTCCAAGCAACTTAAGTAAGAAATGGGCAGAAAACTGATGTACTTCCTTTTCCAAAATCCTTTTGACTTATCCTGTAACAGAAGGATGCAAAGCCCAGAAGTTGTGAAAACCTACTCAGCAGTGTCTGCTCATCCCACAATAGAGGTTGTTGTGTGGAGTGTTGGATATTTATTTATTTTTCACAATAAGCCACACACAGGTGTGGCTTTTGATCAACACTGGGATAAAAATAGAAGCAGAGGATAGCTTTGTTCTTTCAGTCCTGTGAGCTGCAGCAACTTAACTTTGAGGATTACCATCTTTGCCTGAGGAAAACTTCCTTTCTGTGCCCCTTTGGAGCACTGTACTTCTGATGTGGTAATGGCTTCGTGGAGACTTTGCTCTATCTTTTAAATTGCCTGGAAGATAGGAAGACATGTTTGATGTTCATTTGAGATAGAATGTGAAAAACTTGACATTTTCTTAGTTGTAAGCAGCAAAGAATTGTGGGATAAATTAGGATAAACATCATGTTCTTTTGTGCTTTGGAACAGCATATTATTTGCTCCCTGTCTATACTTCTCAGAATCTTTTTTTGTTCCCTGCTTTTATTTTCATCAATCTTCTCTTTTGAGAACCAGACTTCATTTCTAGTATGTCTAGACTAGAAAGCACATGCTTATTGTGTAGATAAGAGAGTATGTTGGAATAGCTAGGCAAGTGATGGCCAGTGTCATAGTGCAAGTTTGGTTCACAAGAGCTGCTGCAAAAGTAATGCCTCCTATTTTATTCTGTTGGCCCACGATGTCACAGGCAGATATTGGTGGTGTGACAGTAGAGGTTGAACCTTCCTCACTGTGTAGATTTGTCAAGATCTTGCCTGGAATGGACGTTCTGTCATCATATAAAAGAGATAAATAATAATTCTGAGGTGATGCTGAACTTTGAGTGTAATTCTTGTAAAAGTTTGGGAAATTATTAGACAATGAAGCAGTAGACTAAAATTGACTGAAATATCACTAGATAAATATATTTCTCAAACAGAATTTCCTTTATAGGTCAGTATGGAGACATGGTTTACAGTGTTCTTCCTCTGGAGCGTCCAAATCTGTTCAGGCTTTGAACTTGATTTTGTAACTTGTCAGAGTTGAAACTTGCTAATGCATATCTTTTTCATAATCAGGTATCACCGTTTAAGCCACATTTTATGTTGTGAGCTCAGCAGTTTCAAATGATTATTTGTGTTCTCAATTTTCTGAAGTAGGACGTAACTGGATCCCACTGATTAACAAATTCTTAAAGCCACTTGTGTTGTAAAATGGAAACTGAAAGCAAAACTGGAAGAAAAAAAAATCAGTTCATGATTTCTTTACATTTGATTAAGACTTAGGACATATTTCCCTGTTTGGTATGGGAAATATGCACTGAAAGAAAAATTTTTCTATGATTTTTTTAAATCATTTTTGAGCCAAGTGATGATAACTCTTGCAGAACATACAAGAGATATCTTGCTTAAACTTCTAGTTTTATAGTTATTGTCATCATTCAAGCTTAGTGTCAGCCTATAATTTGGACCGAATCTATAGCATTAGCAGTGTTACAGATGGAGTCATTTAATTTTCATTAGACTTTAAAGGTTGAGGTTGCAAATTCCACCTTTAAGGGGAGACGGTTACTCTAGCTAGATGGAACTCGTGTGTTTCTCTGTGTAATGATTCGGATAGGAGTGATGACCTTTGACAGTTGAAAGAAGTGTAATTGCAAAGCAATGTTTCCCAGACCATATAGATGAGCGGACAGTTTGTAACGCTATCGCACCTGAAAAGGATGTGGATGGATTTCATATTATCAACATTGGACGTCTGTGTCTTGATCAGCCATCTGTAATACCTGCCACTGCTGCTGCTGTCTGGGAAATCATAAAGCGGACAGGTAGGAAATTCATCTGTATTTAATTTTTTGTTGTTGTTGTTATTTTTTAAAACACAGAAGGAATGAAGGATAAAGTCAGGTGTGGATTAAAAGATGTGGGCTGTCTTTAATGTATTGCTCTCAATGAAGAACCAATATTTAGAGGATCAGTCTAAATAATGAGATGCCGAGGAAGATGGGATATTTTGCCAGTGTTATAAGTATTAAATGTAGATTATAGTTCATGTCAAAGGCTTAGAGCATTTTGAATATTAACTTATTTTCTACTGTTTAATATTGCATAGAATTTTAAGGAATTGTGCTTACTTCCTGTGTAATTATCAAATAAAAGAATGCAATGCGCAAATCCCTGTAGGGTAGAGGGAAAAGTGCAGGACACAAATGGGAATATTCAGTTGGTCACTAGAAGGGGAAAAGATGCATTAAATAGATGCCATTTTCTGAATACAGTATGCTCCTACCAATGGACAAGAGAGCTTTCATTTCACTTTGTGGTCAGGAAAGAGAATTTTTGAGTCTACAAGGGATTATCCAGAAAAACTCAATTACTTGCCAGTTTTGTTTCTCTGCTGTGAAAGCTGAGTGTTATTTTGTGACTTCACACCTTAAAGTTCAGCCCTGTGGGTTTCCAAGTCACACTGATGTCAGCAGTCCACAATAGCAAATAATTGCTATTATTTTGGCATTGAAAAGAAGGGTTTTGGTATTTCAAAATAGCAGAATAAAATGTTGTGTTCTGTTTTGGTTTCTTGTAAGGAATACAAACATTTGGGAAAAATATTGTTGTAGCTGGAAGATCTAAGAATGTTGGAATGCCCATTTCAATGCTTCTGCATACTGATGGAGAGCATGAAAGACCTGGAGGTAAGTCTGTGATGTCAGGTGTCTTAATGTTTCCATTTTAACAATTGATGAAATAGTTAAAATAAAGCTCAACAGAGCATTTGGATAAAGAGAAAGCCTTTCTCTTGTATGACATTAACAACTGGAGCAAGGAGACTAATTACTAATGCATTTGCTGATGGTTTCTCAGCAGAAAAGGTCAGTTTCTGGGCTGGGCTTTTTCTGATGTTATGTCATCATTTTATCCTCCTTTTGAAACAAGTTCCGTTTAAATTTGAAGATGTTTTCCAGCCTGATTGATTGGGACCTTGCACAACCTCATTCAGTGGAAAGAATGCCTGCATATGGCAAGGAGGTTGGAACTAGATAATCTTTAAAGGTTCCTTTAAAGGGTATTTTTATCAATACCCTATATTCATATATATATATTGATATCAATATATATCAATTTTTTGGACATGATAAGCAAAAATGAAAAGCTGCAGTCTGTCTTCATCTGTGATGTTTTTTATGTTGCAACTGCAATGTCCTGTAGGTGGCAATATGTGATTAGATAGGAAAAGATTCCTTACAAAATAGTGTATTCTCCATAGACAGATCAAGATACTTTTTATTTTATAAACTAGTGACTTAACGTAGCAATATGGTGCTAGGCCTTATTTGCTAATATGCTCTTGTTTTCTATCAGAAGTAGCATTATCAAAGTTAAGTTACTTATTCTTTGTTCTGACATGATCAGTGGAAAACCCACTCTTTCTGAGGTGAACTGCTATTTTGAAGATAGGAGCCATCTTTTTTTTTTTTCCACCTCTCCTTAATAACGATGAGAGCAATTCTTTGACTTCAGGAGCTGACCACAGACACATTTATCTTTAAGCTCTGGAGAGGAAAATAGTACTGATATTACTACTTAGAAGTTATGAATATTTGTAGCTTCGGATTTAAACCACTGTTTACTCTTGAGTCCTTGAATACAGTTTAAGAGGTCGAAAGAACCTCATAATGTATGGCTTTGGTAGCAAGGGTTGTAGTGTCAGGCAGGATATCTTTCTTATCTTTTCCATAACAGATTTCTCCTTTTTGTTCCATCCTTATTCCGTTCCTTTGTCCTGTTCCCCTTGAGTTTTGTTTTATTTTTTTATTATTAGTTACTTTGGGGATCAATAGGTGATATTGCAGAACAGGGGAAGGAAGAAAGAAGGAAAGTAGACATGCAGGCTTTATGTACTGCTTGGGATGTTTTTACTGTAAGAAAGTGCAGAGGTAGTTTGAAGGCAGTTGTTTATTCCAAGCTCTTGATGGACTTAAGTGCAGGGGAAGTTATAGAAAATCAGTGAAAGACTTCTAGCACCTAGGAATTCCCCTTATATCAAGAAATAGTTTATACACATATGAACTTCTCTGTTGACATTAACTGCAAATGTCTTCATCTGCTTCTCCATGAGTGCAGAGACTGAAGAGGGACTGGTGATAACTGAAGGAGAGGAGTGATGAGAGATAAGGGAAAAGAGCAGTGAATTCAGGGCGCAGACAGATTGAAGATGAGATTCTTGAGGAAGAGAGTTAATGAGATAAGAGGCACAGATTAGACAGTTAGATACATTCCAGAGGAAGCATCTGTGGTGTTAATGTCTGAGATGGCAAAAATCTTTATTTAGTGGTTAATATAGTGCCTTATGAGTTCATGGTGGATGGAAGGTGGAGATGAACACAAGAACATTGAGTAGAACAAATAGTTGATGGAGAATGGCATCAGAATCTGGGAACAATCTCCTTCAATGGATTTTATCTTTGCATTTTTTGAGCAGTCTCAGAGAGACTGCCACCCTTGCTGCTGGACTCTATATGTTTTCTTAGTCACTAATCCAATGCCATTTTGTTTCATGTGTAGTGGTCTTTCTCCTCAGCGTCTCTATTGATCTGCACAAGGCTTTTCATGTCTTGCTGGCAGGGTTTATTTGTAGCTTTGTGCCAAGCAATGTGGGTGCATGCAGGAGCAGGCCCCAGAGCTTTTGAGTTTACCTGAAAGGATGTGGTCTTACACTTGTGATAACTTCAAACACTTCCTACTCTGGTATAAAGTACAGGTTCAGCAGTTTTTGCTTTATCAGGAGATAGAAGAGCTGGTCAGGCATCTGCGAAATCCCAGTACCTTTTTCAGTCTTTTCTATTCCTGTTGTTGCATTTGACCTAAGTAAAATGATTACTTAGAATATTTTGAGTGTGTGGGAAAATATCCGACTGAAATTGTACAGATCATATAAATATTGATGCTGCTTTTGATTGTGTTACGCATATGAGTTCAAGAACATTTCTTCTCTATGAAATCCGTTGATGTTCCAGTCGACAGAAAAATTTGGCTGTCTGACCCTCGTGTGCAATCGTTGTTTAGATGGGAGAGTTGATTGATTAGATATTCAACATGAGCCGGCAATGTGCACTTGCAGCTCAGAAGGCCAACCATGTCCTGGGTTGCATCAAGAGAAATGTGGCCAGCAGGTCGAGGGAGGTGATTCTGCCCTCTACTCTGCTCTCATGAGACCCCACCTGGAGTACTGCATCCTGTTCTGAGACTCCCAACACAAGAAGGACGTGGAGCTGTTGGAGCAGGTCCAGAGGAGGGCCACAAATATGATCAGAGGGCTGGAACACCTCCCCTATGAATACAGGTTGAGAAAGCTGGGATTTTTCAGCCTAGAGAAGGCTCTGGGGGGACCTTATAGCAGCCTTCCAGTACCTGAAGGAGGCCTACAGGAAAGCTGGGGACGGACTTTTTCTAAGGGTAGGTAGCAACAAGACGAGGGGAAAAGTTTTAAACTGGAAGAGTGTAGATTTACACTAGATGTAAGGAAGAAATTCTTTACTGTGAGGGTGGTGAGACACTGGAACAGGTTGCCCAGCGAGTTTGTGGATGCCCCCTCCCTGGAAGCATTGAAGGCCAGGCTGAATGGGGCTTTGAACAACCTGGTCGAGAGGGAGTTATCCCTGCCTGTAGCAGGGGAGATTGGAGCTAGATGATCTTAAGGGGTCACTTCCAACCCAAAATCGTTCTGTGATTCTATGAAAGACTCTTGGCCCCAGAGTCTCATTGTTGTCATAGCTACTAAACTCATAGTTCAGGCCAAGGACAGCTGTGGCTGTCGTCTTCTCTTGTTGGTCAGATTATCAGCCATGCTCATTCTTGTGAGGGGGAATATCAGTAAGAAATAATATCAATCCACAGTGTATGTATTAAGTAATCCTGTGTCAATTTTTAAGTGCTTTTTCATATGTGTAAAATGCAAATGTTGTGAGTGTTCTGCCTATGCTGAAACAAGTGATGAATCACTAAACAAACCTGGTGGTCATCTTTACTGTCTTTCGTGTACCAAAATGAGTCAGTCGTACTTGAAAGTAATTGCTGTATAGGCCCTTTCTATCTATTAATTGTCAATCTTTATGTTTCAGGAGATGCTACAGTGACCATTGCACATAGGCACACACCAAAGGAACAGCTCAAGATCCATACTCAACTTGCTGACATTGTTATAGTAGCTGCAGGTAATGTGGTTAATACATCTAAAAACAATGTTTAAAACCCAAAAAGAAAAGCTTGGAGTCAATTGGTGGTACTACTTGCTATTTCATATGTTTTACCAAATAAGTGATGCTCATGCTTGCCAAGGGTGTCATAATGTGCAGGATTTCTTGTAAGATGGACAGGTGATCTGGCACTTTGTTCCCGTCCTTCATATTTGTAGACTCATAAACTGTTTCTCATCACGTGTGACACCTTTCCCTTAGGGAGACTTCAGAGTGAACTCCAGATTGGGAACCAGTTGGTGTGTAGTTTATACAGGTATAATTATGTAAATTAAGACATTCTCTGTACTGTGCAAAAATCATGAGTCATCTAATTTTTGGAAGGAGGTTTTCTTTAAATCAGCTGGAGGTGCCATTCATAAAAGACAATGCTATCTTTCTCTTGCTGTTTGAATTAAGGGCAAACGCAGCAAATTAAATAGTGATTTTGGTAACACGTATGTGTTATTCATGGCTGGTTTTTTTGGTTTTTTTTTGCAATTATCATGTCAAGAGGAAGAAAATGATAAGTGCCAAAAGGAGGGGCTCTGAAAGATCTGTGAAATACTTTGGATTTTCTAGGACAAAGAAATAAGTAGTGCTACTTCTGAGCAATCTTTGGTTTTACTTTACTGATATCTATTGATGGAAATAAAAATTAAACTTAAAAACAAACAAGCTTTTGGTAAAATTCTGTATCCCGTGCAATTTGAGATATCTTCCTTCTCTTGTATGGCTTTGGAGGATCATAAATGGGGAGAAATATGAGCGTATTTACTCTTTTCTGCTCCTTCCCTCCCTCCTCACCATCCTTGAAACATAATCTTGGGAAGTTATTTTCCAGATGAAGAGGAGACAGGCACATGTCTGAAGCTTCCTCTTGAAGCAAGATGTCCATTCCTTCAGGGCTTCATTGCACTGTCATCTCTTTCTTGTGCCAGGTCAGGAATAAGAGGTAGCTCAGTTCTCCCACATGTGATTAGCCAACTGTGGGTCAGACCAGAATTCACATGTTGTAAATGAAAAATAACGTATGCGTTATTTGGAAATAAAGCAGTAATATCAACATTCACTGCTGCTGATTTACTCATAGTTCAAGGTTTTTTACATGCTGAACAGTTTGTCATCAGTTAGGCTTGTAGTTAAACACTTCAGTAGCAGTTTAACTGCGTTCATTCTTCTCGTTCATTCATTCTCCCTGTGTCTTTTGTAAGAGGAGCATGATACAACAGTTATTACACAACGTGAAATAGACTTGAAGTGATGCACAATTCAGCTCTGTTTTTTTTCAAACAGCATGCAACCCTGCCCACTGCCACTCTGTCTCTTCTTAAAGGAAATGAGAGAGAAAATACAGTGGAAAAGCCCCTTACTATCATAAACTCTGTGCAATAATAACAAGATTCCTATTATCTATCTGTGAGGAATTTCTTATTCACTTTCATCCATGGCTGTCAAATAAGTCAAATCAGATGCTCATGTTTTTACTCTAGGCTTTGAGAATGCCCGTCTTCAGAAGTTGTCTCTTGTTTATTTCCATCCTTGAGAATTGGCTGTGCAGCTTTTCTTCTTTGTAGCTATTGATGCAGTTCCTTCCTTCCATCTCATTCTCTCCCAGCTTGTTGCATCATAAGGCCATCCCTCCATAAAGTCAGTGTCTCTGCTTCCAACCAGAACTGCCTAAGCTCTGTGCCACACAGCTTTTGCCTTTTTGGCTAACATATGATGTTTCCTTCTCGCCCCGTCCCTCTGGATATGACCCTTCTGTATGGAAGCTGCTAAATTCCTGGACTGCTTGATTCAGCCTGTGGCTGGTTTTCTTTCTCAGTATTTTACTGGTTTACAGTCCTTATACCTAAACTGGGATCATATAGGACTTGTTTGCTTGTTTAAAGCATGCTTCGCTGTTTTCTACAAAGCTAGAAAGGAAAAAAATTCCCACATTGTTCAATCGCTGCATTTTAGGAATTGCTACTCCAACGCTTATCTCTCCCTGCTTGGTATGCAAAGCAGGCTTAAGTAAATGGATCTGTTCATTTGCTTTGGGGGTTAGTTTATTTGTTGCTCTTAAGTATTTGGCCTATTATCAAGCCATTTTACAAAGGGTGTAACTGTGTAACTTCCGTTAATATGCTCCCATTCCTATCATGCACAGATCGTTAACCCCGTCAGACAGGAGGCATTATCCAGTTAGCAGTCAGCCTGCAATTGATTGCACAAGAGTGTGATGAAGGAGATGTATCCAGATCTTATCAGAATAGGAAAAAAAAAAAAATAAATGAGGTCTTGGTTTGCTCAACATTAAAATCAGAGTTTCAAGGCTGTGTGCTATGGGGGAGTGAGAAATGGAGAGCAAAAAAAAAGCTCCTATATTGCCTGGATTCAAATGACAAGCTGGCCAAGGTCCAGCATTTCAAGTGGAGTCATAGCACTCATATGCTAGTGCTTGCCTCCGGTAACATTGGTCTCAAAACGTACAGGTTTGCTTTCTTTTCTTTATTTTTTAATGTGTTGGGTTTTTTTGTTTTTTCTGCATCTCAGAAAAGTCTCCCTAGGGGGAGGGCAGCAGGGCGAGCTCAGAATCCCCCCTTGGAGATGCTCTGTTACTGAGACAGACATTCCTCACATAACAGAGCTTGCTGCTTGCCCAAAGAAGCAAGGCAAAAATTGAATTTGTTTCCAAGTTCAAATCTCCTATCTTTCAGAGCTGGAGGCTGCATAGAAGAAAATGAATTTAGGAGGTCTTTTAAAGCAGGTGCACAAAAGATTGCAGATGTTGCATTTAAGATATAATGGTCTAACATCATGCAGATGTTGGCTGATGGCTTTATATTCCCCACTCTCTGATAGTATGTACTGACTTTGCACTCAGATACTTATTTGCCTTAACAATTGAGGAGATGCTTCATTTTTTCTGAATCTGTCCAGGAATTAACTTTGAAATTTTGTTCTTGCAAGTCTTTGCTTCTCTCTTGCAGACTGGGCTGACGCTGTTTGCTGTGGGTAGATATGAGTTGGATACTTTTTTCCTGTTATCTATCTCATTCATATGTTACAAGAATGAGAAATAAGCTGGTGGCATAGATCAGGTTCTCTCACCATGCTTAATTATTAAGTGAAATATATATTATTTTTTTTCAGCATGGGGGTGAGGGAGGTGGTATGGGGGTGCATGCAAACTTATAATTTGGAACTGATGGCCTAAGATTATTTGGCCATGTTAATCAAGTATCTTGATGATTCCAGGTATCCCGAAGTTGATTACAACCGATATGGTCAAAGAAGGTGCAGCTGTGATAGATGTAGGCATCAATCATATCCACGATCCTCTAACTGGAAAGACCAAATTAGTTGGAGATGTGGACTTCGAAGGTCAGTGAAACACTCCTTATGTGAACCAACTGGATTCATTGATGATAAATGCTTTGAATAGCCTATGTCTCAAATAGCACTGACAGAAGTGCTTGTTCTCAACAAGCAATTTGTTCATATGCCTGCTCTTAAGAAATGATACGTTATTTAGGAGAGGCAGTGCTACTTTTGTGAGCAAACTTTGAGAGATACAGATGAGATTTTTTGGTAGTATGGTGGCAACAGTTCTAGAGATGCTTGTCTCCAGGCTTCTTTCATCCTCTGAGAATCTCTAAAGCCCCTCAGAAGTATTTGCATGTGCGCACACACAAAAGCAATCCACAGTTTCTGCCTTTTCATAGTGTATATTTCTCACTGATCGTAGCAAATACTGTTATGCCACAATTTCTCAAGCCTGCTTTCACTCCTCCTCTTCAAACTTGTGTTTGAAAATATTCACTTCTGCTTCAGAAGTATCCTTTAGGCTGAGGATTAAGGTGGTTTCATCTCAAGCTCTTGAAAATCTTGGTCCAGGCAAGCCCGGCTGAGATAACATAGGATGTTACATATTGATCTTTTCATGTTGAATGTGTTGCAGAGCGAGTTCATAGTGTAATTGGATTAAATCTCTCTGCTCTGGAGGAGCTCCAGACTGGAATAGCAGGATTGTTGCAGCTGAAAATTAAAGCTTATTGGCAGAGCTATGTGTGGGAAGCTTAGACAGCATTCACCCACATTATTAATGGTTCTCAACAGTTCCTTATTTTGATAAGTATGAAAATCAGCCACCATTTTTTGTTAGGTTTTTTTCATACTTATTAACATCTTGGCTGGCACAATGTCTCAAAGCTTAATTGTATTCAGAATGTTTCTAGCCCACTAGATGTATTTGAAATTATATCATTTGCTTCATTCCTGCCTGTTTTACTCAATGAACTTTATATCTGTCTGCTGAAGTCTATGGAATGACCTGCATGAGCTCAGCGATGCTTTGAGCATGCATTTGGAAGTATATAGCTGCATTTGTAAAATAGTTCCAGTAGAAATACATTTTTACAGGACAACTTTTTGTGTGGTTATCTTCCCTGTGCCATCAGAAATAAAAGATGATTTTCCATATTCAGAACTGAACTAAAATGAAGTATAGAGAGGAGTTCCAGGAATTTCTTTTTATTATTTGTTTTTTTTTATTGTTTGTTTTAGCATGTTTGAATATGACCTTCAGAAACTTGACAATGTCTCCTTTTTGTTTGTTTTCTTTAAATGCATAACCTTCTGAATGCAATGTAGGGCTTGATTCAGTGGCCATGCCATGACTCAGAGTTTCAGCGATGCACCGTATGTGTCTTGTCATGTCTGCTGTGGGTTGCTCTCAGGATTTTACCTGGGGGGAGGGAAGATCCAAAAAGGAGGGAGGATCTTCAACCTCGATTATGCCACTGCAACTCCAAGTAGCATTTTGCTGTGCATTGCCAGAGGGAAGTTGTTGTTGGTTTATTGGTATCGGTGAAAGTTTCACTAAATCTCTAACAACAAAAAAAAAACTGTCCCTGTGTATGGAGTTGGAAGTACTGCAAACCATGTCACTTGTGTCAAATCTTCTATTTGCCAGTTAGGAAATGGATCAAGCTAGGCTATTTATGTACCAAATTGTCTTATCCTTATCCTCCTTTTGATCACTTGACTGAATTTATGCTTAAGCCTATGTCAAAATGTTTTTTGCAATAGGTGAACTGGCATGACATACATCAGCTGTGTAATGTAAAGTAGCCCACTAGTTTATGTTCTTTCATCATCTCCTTCCTGAAGTAGGGAAATATTTGGGGTGAAAGCAAGGGGATATGTGAGAGATTGAACCAGGCAATCCTATGTCAAACCTTTGTTGTAAGAAATGGATAGGAATGGCAGACCTAACAAGGTCATTTGGCTGAGAACCCCTGGGAGTGCAAATAAGCTTCAGTAGGTGGGTGAGAACTGTTGTGATTTGGTTGTCATATCCTAGCAATACTCGGATGCTATCCTCTGATCTCTAGGGAGTGGGTTTGAAACAGAACTTTATTTTCATCTCTTACAACAAGATGATGACATTTCAAATGCATATCTTTTTAATACTGTTCATTCATAAACTCAAAGTAAGAAATACCTCGTGGAAAATATTTTTAGCACAGGCCAAGATGACTGAATAGCTATTCAAGATGAGTTTTGAAGCTCTGAGATCTGTGTTCTGAAGTGGACATCAGTGTGAGCCATGTCCCATTTGGCTGTAAGTGGTTAAAGGTGCCCAGAGTGCTATTATGTGAGATTCTAAGATATCCAGAGAAGCAAGACAGGAAAACACTGGGCATTTGGAGGTCAACTATGCAACTTGCAGAGAGCATACAACTGGAACAGCTCTTATGGGTGGAGCACTGTTTCCAGGAGTCACTGTACACAGGGTGGTGGCACAGCACTGCTGGAGCTGATCCTTGATATGGAGGTGCTCAGAGGTGCTCACTACTGTGCTGCTCCTGCCTGACCTGCCCAGTGACAGTGGTGGACCTGCCCATGTTCCAGGACACAGGACTGCTAACCTTGTTCAGCTCCCACCCTATCTGCCTAGTGGTAGTGGTGCAGCTGCCCATGTTCTGGGAGTGCAGAGCTGCTTCCCAAGCTGTGCACCAAGAACTCCAAAGACTTTCTGTGGTTTGCTGGCCAAAGACTCAGGCATCACCCCTGGGTGCTGCTGGGAGCACCTGGCTGAGGTTTACCTTCTTAAGGCTTCTGGCAACGTGGTCATGAAGGGCTGTACTAAAACAAGGGAGGAGCTTTGCACTTCAGTTGTCACTGCAATCTTCACAGTTTGTGAGAAAGTGGCACTGTTGTGAATTGTGGTGCGCTGTTCATGGGACACACAAGTCTTCGTGGTATTGGGCAAAAATGTTGTTAGAAATGAAGTTGGCTTCTGATAGCTGGAAATGAGCTGGAGAGGCCCGTGAAGCTGAAATATACGTTATGGACCAGGCTCGCTTCTAGATGGAGCAAGTGTACCAAAAGGCACATAAGTTTAGTAAGAACCAGGGTAATGTATCCTGTTCCGATTAACTACAGCACTAATTCCTACCAATCTATTGGGTGAGCTGACAAGTGTCTTGAAACTTGTTCAGGTAGTGAAAAAATGTACCATGATCATCTTCGAAGCCAAATTTTTTATCTAAGTGTTGGTATTGTGTCTTACCTAGAGTTGGTGGGATGTAGAAGTGCAGGTATTGTGGAAACAGTTCATTCTGACAGTTGTTTGCTACTGTTCCACATTCAATGCACTACCTTCCAGGCTGTGAGCTTTTTTTCCTCAAACTTCTGAATCCTTTCCGAACAATCTCTTGATGCTGTTTGGATAAACAGCAGTCCTGAAAACAGAACATGGGTATTCCAACTAATTTCACTACTGCTTTTTTTTTTAGTTAAGTTCATTTTGAAGAAGTGACATTCTTTATCTATGTAATAGAAATCCAAATTGTGTAATACTGTCTCTGTGTTGTTGCTTGGTAGAACTCAGGGGAAGATCTGCTTGTTGGTATGCTTTGCCAATGCAAGAAATTATTTTTTTTATTTTGCAAATTCCAAAGACTTTCTATTCATTCCTTACAATCTGAAATGGTGGCTTGGAGGCTATTTTCACAGTTCAGTAGGATCCCAGCTGCAGTGGCTGCATACTTGAGCTTCTGAAGAGGGTTGTGGACAGAATGTTTGCTAAATGTGACTGCTTGCTCTGAGTGGTGGCTGCCAGGAGGCCATGGAGCACCACTGCCTGGTGTCACTCTGCTTTGGGATGGAGAAGTCGAGGTTCTTTCTCAAAGAGTAGGCCACCTCTCATGCAGGGGTCTAAGGAAATGTTCACTGGGATCTTTAATTTCTGCTGCCACTGCTCTTTATCCCAAGGCTATTGCAATATCTCACCCACTTGTCTGTGCTAATTAGCTGTATCTGAAAGTAGCCGTGCTGCTTAATTTTCTGCTGGGGAGCGTTAGTGGGATAATATCAAACAGAAGGAATTTTGAGAAATGGGATCATTGTTTTCAGGTTGCTATCCCACCAGTGCACAGTGAGAAAAATCCCAGACTGTAAAGCAAGCAGATCACGGGATATCTACTATGATTGCTGAGCACGTGATTCACACTTGTGCAGTGCTGCACGGATGCAGTGATCCTGGAGAAGCTGTACAGGGACTAATAAAGCCATGTGCAAACAATGCTTAGGCAGGAATTATTCTGCATCACTCAATGCAGATGCACCAGACTCAGAGCCACCTTCAGGTTGAGACTTGCCTTGGGTTTGTGTGATGAACCCTATTCCGTGTCTGATGTTCCTGCTTTAAAGGAACAGAGGAATGAAGGGCTGCTTCCAAAGCAGCCAAGCCTGTTTGTCAAGGAAATAATCTACATTTCATTTCTTCTGAAGAATCAAAGGAAGATTTGAAGATTCTAAAGAAGCTGCAAAATAGCAGCTCCTTCCCCATAGACATCTGATTTGTGTACCAACATTTTACAAATTGCTGGTCTCCAGAAGCTAGGTTAGAGCTTTACCATTGCTGGGAAGCAGAAACGAGACCTCCTGAAGGAAGCAAAGGTGCAGCACCTGTTTTACTGACATGAGATGGGTCACACCAAAGTGCTGCCTTAGGACTGCTTTGGCTTTCTACACTTTCTACAGTTCACAAGAGAAGGAAAATCTGTTCACTTTTTTGGCATTATTTTTACCCCCTTGCTCACTAATGTTCATCTTGGAGAATTGCATTCATCTGATCTATATTTACTCTTCTAGGTGGAGATGTATCAGATGGTAGTTCCTAAACATAGACAACTGTCACTTGTTTACACAGGTTGCTCCAAAAGTAATGCCTCCTGTTTATATCCATGGAAGCTATAACAGATACAAGGAGTACAATAACACTGTTTTATGGAGCAAATTCTAGCTACAAAACACTATTTTTTTTGACATAGTTACCATTGTTAGCTATGTATTTTGTTCAGTGATGAGCAAGAATGTGCATGTGGAGTAGTTGTGGGAAAGTTCAACCTCTACTGCCGTACAACCAGCATCCACCTCTGATGTTGTGAGCTAACACAATAAAACAGGAGGCATTACTTTTGGAGCAGCCTTTGTATATATCTGGATCAGCTTTTGTGAATAAGGTATCCAGGTGGTTGTATGCAAACATATAAACTATGGTTTCTGCCACGTTGAGCCACAGCAATTTCCATAATGATAGAGTATGGGGAGAGAAAGTCCTCTGCAACCTGTAAGAGCAGCACACTGTGCTCTGTGCCTGTGTTCCTCAGAACAGCTCCTAACATGAGAGGCAATGATGTTGTGCGTGATGTGCATTGGAAGGCTTTCCTTAGGTGCAGCTGTGAACTGCAGCACTTGGTAACTAAGATAAGAGTATTCTAAATAGCACCACAAAGAGAAGCATATAACATTGCCATGGAAATAGACTTATTTCAATTTTAAATGGCTGAAACAATTTGTATGGCAATTATGATGGTGTTCACTTCAGATGTGGGTACATTTCAATAATTATGACATTGAGTTAGGATTTGCAGTAACTGCTAACCATAAACACCAATCTCAAAGAGCAGGTAGTTCAGAATAATTAGTAAGAGTGTGTGAGAATATTAAGAATAACTGTTATATGGGACCTTAATTTATTTCTTACAACTTACATGTACAACAAAAACCAAGCAACAACAAAAAGCAATGCAAGTTGCAATTTGTTAAGCTTTCCAAGTATTTTAATAGTACATCTGGTGGTACAGCCAGTAGAGTAATTAAAGCCCACCCTGGTGTAATTAACAGCTCTTCTCAGCTGTTTTTCAAATAGTAATGCTCACCATAGAGTGTGTCTATATGACATGCTTGCAGTTACTTTCTCCTTCTTACTTCAGACATTTGGTGGCAACAGGGGAATGGGAGCTTTCAGGAAATCACTTGTAAACAAGCAAAGGGGGGGGAGGGGTGAGGCAGGGATGGTGTGATGCACACTCATGATGGCACTTGTGAAAATCTTTACAGCAATCAGTAGTATGCCTCTTGCACTAACCATTATTAGCAAAATGGCTGCTTGTTACAGTTTGTCATGCAATGAATTCCCACTCCTGCAAAAGTAACCTGAAATTTCAGTTGGTTACATTATACAGAATAGATACAAATATTAAATGATATTGTTACGTGATGTTAGTTCGTCCTACAAAGAGGTAACTTGGCAGCTGTTAACTAAATGCTTTAAAAAATAAGAAAAGAGATGTGTCTATCTCTTAGAAGAAGCATTCAAGGTACATGCTAACTTTGGACAGCCACATAGCATGGGTAGTTGCAGTTGTCAGAGTTCTTTCTTTGACACTTCAGTAAGATGAGTGCATTCCAGTCCAAGTGTGATGTAGGCACCATAGTAAGGCTGTTTTGTGGTTTGGTTTGCTTTGGTTTTATTTGTTTGTTTGTTAAACAGCAACAACAAAACCACACCTTCTCTGAAGGAGTAGAGCATTTATGGCTGTTATTGCAGTGGGAATTTGTTTTTCTACAGACTCAGCTCTGTTTTGTTCTTTGCCCATGTTGAGAAGCAGAAAACAAACCAACCAGGAAGCTGTACTTTTTCCCACTGTGGTTTTCTGAAGTTCACTTCAGAACAGGTATTTTCATTAGAAGCTTCAGGTTGCAGTGGGAGAAGAAGGCTGAAGAGGCAACCTCACTGTGCTTGTGCTCAGCTGTGCTTCTTGATGGACTCCTGCTCTTCTTGCAGCTTCTCAGAAACACGAGTTTAGGTGGCTGACCACAGGCTGGGTGGAGGTGTGTACTCCCATGGGGAAAAGGCAGCCTTCTGCAGGCAGATTGCTTTAAGCTGATGGGGAAAACATAGCCCAAAACTGATGCTTGGGTAATGACATTCACAAGAGGACTACCTTGCAACTCTTGTCCTGATTGTATCCTGTCACAGAATCATAGAATCATTAAGGTTGGAAAAGATTACTAAGATCATCTGGTCCAACTGTCAGCACATCACCACCATGTCCATTAAACCATGTCCCTCAAACTCATCCTGGAACTACTGTGGATTGGAGAAGACTTCTGCTGTAACTTTTCACGTATTCTTCAGTACTGTCCAAATCATGGTCCGTTAAGCTTGTTGCCAGTTGGACTTATCTGGATAAATGAATGAGAAAAAAAGTTTCTGGAAACATTCTTAGTCAATCTCTTTCTCTCTTTTCTCTTAGAAGTGAAGAAGAAGGCTGGCTTCATCACTCCAGTGCCGGGAGGGGTGGGACCTATGACTGTTGCAATGCTTCTGAAGAACACGCTGATAGTTGCTAAGAAGCTCATTTACTAGAGGAAGTGGGCTGTCTCAAAAGAAGAATGCAAGTTGTTCTATTTATTGTTATACAAAACCTTTATTTTTTACTAGAAAGATATTTATTTCTACATTGTATTTATTTTTTCATGTAAACTATATTGAACTTGATGGTTTACAAAATGTTACAATACTTTATGTTACCTCCTGCTGACTTACTGTGAGCAACACTGAATTGAATGGTACAGACTTTGTTGGTACCATGTTGTTTGTCAACTGTGTGCTTGGAAGTGAAGAACTAAACTTGAATTCCAGAGCTTGAATTATGCTTGTATATTTTGAGATGGGATGCTATAGGTGAGATTATTTAAGCATTAGGTTCGCTCATCTGTATGAAAAGTAGGTTTCAACATAGTGGATATCTATTGACGATGTGGAATGTTCTGGGTGTAATTTGAAGTTGGAAAACATTTAGATAACAGTGATCCAGAGTCTGAAAGGAATTAAAAGCTTAAATTTGTTTCAGCTACCAGACAGTAGTGCTGGCGGTGAATACAAATGCTCAGTACACATTTAAAGCTGTCCTGTATACTTCAATATTGGCTAAACTCTCCTCTGAAATGTATGCAAGATGTGTGCGTGAAGTACTTGCAGTTGTGAGGCCAGAATTGTTTTCTTTCCATGTCTGAATTTGGTTGACAGTGTTTTCGTGCATAATGCCACAAAAAGGTTTTGAGTAGGTGTCATGGTTGGATTGGACTTGAGTTTGATAGAATGTCATTAAAGCTGCTATGTGTGTACTTTTTGTATAAGATGGAGGTGAAGAGGAAGAGAAAATCAAAAGTTTACCTATGGCAGAAATGCTTGTATTGGAATTTAAGCCATTTGTTTATTCTCTTGTCTTCTGAAGCAACATGAAGGGTTCTTAATTCCTGGTACAAGGCTGAGCCCTACGAGTATTTGTTGACAATATTTTGCTTCCTAGAGAGGACTATGTGAGATAATAATATGCTTGCTGTAAAAGGAAATAGAAATCATAAAAATAAATGGGAGAGGAATGATTATCAGTGTGTTTCTGTACCCTAAACTTTGAGTTCCAAAGGTGGATTCAGAATAGTCTTGTGCAGTGTAAGAGTCAGAGAGTCATGTTATTGCTAGGATGCCACTTTTAATATGCATATGTTGTATTGACTTGAAGAGCCTACCCTGGTTCCCACTGAAGCCAGCGGGAGTCACTTTGGGCTGCTATCTCCGTATTTTTATCTTGGTTGGGGTAACTTTATTTTAATCAAGAGCCTTTAGTGTTTGCCAGTAGATTCAAGACCACTCAAAAAAGTAAGAAAACAAAAAGGTGTGCTAAATACTACTTATGTTTATTTAAAAAAAAGAAGTACATACCAAAATAAAAAAAAAAAAAAGAAACGGAGCATTGCTTCTGTGCTGCTTGTTTCTTCTGATGCTCTTCCTGAGAGTTTTGCATATATGCATTTTTTGCAGAATAGCTTGACAGATCCATTCCTAAGTGTATGGAACCAATGGTGCAGACACCAGCGTATCTGTTCAAAATGAGGGGTTATGAGAATGTTAGGAGTATCCAGGTGCAGATAATGCTTGGATCATTCAATCCATCATTGGCTCAGATGGAATAAAATTTGCCCATTCTGCTAACCTTTCTGTGAGATACTTTGATACAGTTTGGGTTGGATTTTTCCTTTCTATCTAAAGAGTGGAACAACAGCAGCCTTTTGCGTGTTCATTCATTACCTTTATTTCACCTGTTTGTATTGCTTTTCCAAATCCGTGTTCATTTACTTTGCTTTAGCTAAAAATAGAGTCTGCATTTTTGACGGAATAACAACTTGAGGCATTTTGCTTATGTCACTGGAATGAGTCTGCCTCTGTCATATCCTCCCAGCAGCTCATAGTGCGTCCTCAGCTTTTTCTCTTTTCACCTCCCACGAGTGAGTTAGTATGACATAAAGCCAGCAGGACCAAGGTTTCGCTTAGTGGCATGTTGTTTTCAGAGCTGTCAGACGCATCTGTTCTCCATTGCAACCTGCAGAAGGGTTATGACTCCTATTTCCAGCCTGCAAAGTGTGCGCATGTGCCAGCATCAGGCCAGGTGGGGACAGCCACAGCCTCATCTGCTGCCCTCTTCTTGCCGCACCCACTGCACTGCCCAATGACAGAGCCACTGCTCACATTCACACTGGATTAAACTCCCATTGTGTAAAAGTATGTTGAAAGGAAGCTCCCTGCTTAGGACTGATAGCAAAGGTTCTGCAGGTAGCACAAACACCAGTCCTGGCAAGTGGGGAGTGCACAGGCTGCACTCGATCAATGTGCAGGCATGCAGCCATTCAGGATACTGAAGGAAGGGAAAAGCCTCCTGGAATGCAGCCCATGAGCATCAGAACACATAATTAAAGTGTGCATAACCAGCTTGTGTTTTTCCCTGAGCTTATGAAGTGGTTACGCTGAATCCCATACATCACCAAAGAGCTTGGTGCAGAGGGAGAACTCAAGCTGACCGGAGTTGCTAGAGCATCTGTCATTAGGTTTTGGTTGAAGAAAAGATTAAGTTTGAAAAGTTTTTTATTTTCTGGAGCTCACAGTGGGGAAACTGAAACTTGGAGAGAACATAGCAGCTCTCTTACGGTGAGAGTGAAGAGTTTTGAGGCTGTTGATCTGTTCTTCCATTATTGAGCTGAGCCTTCCTGGTGATCTGCGTGATCTGCCCCAGTGCTACATAACAACGTTGCAGTGGGAGCAGTCCTGCTTGTTCTTAGCTGCTTGTGACAAAAGAATTGACAGCATTTAGGGCTGTGGAGAGTGGTGTTAAGAAACGTGTATATCAGGTATTAAAGACCTACAAATACTTAATGTAAAAAGCATGATCACTCTCACTGTGTGTCTGCACAGCTCCAGGTGGCCACCCTTGCACAGCTCCAGCTGCGATCAAAGGCCTTTTGCTGGCAGTCACTGATGGGGAATATCACCGTTATCTGTCTGATCACTTCTCAGTCTCAGCACGACTGTTCTCACCATTCCTTTTCTGAATGAGGAGGAGCTGAATGCAGGAGGAACTGGAGCACAGCAGGGGCTGGACCCTGGCTCCTGGCATCTGGAGCCACAGGCTGAACGCTGACCACCCCCTTTGGAAGTAATGTAAGGCTTTATCACCGAGGGACCAAAGATCTCATTTTTCACAATATTGTTTGTTTTGCAACCTTCTGGTTTTGCCGTATATCATTGATCTGCTCTGGCAGATGCCAGGTCTCTCTAAAACTACATCTCTGCATGCACAACAATGCCCACGGGTAATAGGAAACTGGGGTTTCAAGAGAAAACCTGATCCCAGTGCTAGATAATAGCAGTTTCCTAAATAAATGTGTGGTTGCCCTAAGGGCTGAGCTTGCTGCCAGACGCACCTTTTTTTGATTGGTGAGAGCAGCAAATGACGCTTCGTGGCGTATAAGTGCAAGAGAAAACACAGCAGCACAGATAAGTGGAGCCAACGAGCACCAGCAAAGGAGAGTTGCAAAGGTGCTAAAGCAACTGCTTGCCATGGCATTTGGAATGCTCATCTACATTTTGCTGAAAGGTGGGTTTGGAGGGGCTTTTCCATGTCGTGGTATACCTGAGGAAGAGATTAGTCTTTCTGAAATAAGCTGTAGGGGTGGGAATCGTGGCAGTGTGAAGCAGATTTGTTTCACTTCTTTTTGAAACTGGACAAGGTTTTAAAGATGGAATGGAACCAAGGCCTGGCTAAAAGAAATTTCTGTGTTAAATAGGTACAACGTTATTTGTAGTACATTGCAGGTATCTGTGCCATAAGTTACATAAATAATAGAATGGAGAACAGAGTGGATGTGCGTTTGGGGATTCTGCAAATGTTTGTTTTCCCTACAATCATAATAGTAGCTCTGTAACAAAAGGAGGTTTGAGGCAAGAATTTCCTAAACCGTGCATTTCTGCATTGCATCAGAAGTGCATGGAATGAGTAAATGTTATCTGGATGAAATGAACCTTGAATAGCCATGCTGAGTTTTCTGTTTCAGTCAGCATCTGTTTGCATTACACAGCAATGGGGGCACTGAGTGAGGACGCGGCTCTCACTGTTTCATCCCTCAGCACAGAACTGTGGAATAGCTGGACGAAAAACAACACTGAAGGTATTTGTGCTTTGTTCTGTTTATTAATCACTGAGTAAAAGGAGATATTTTGAGGCTGTTTGGGATAGATTGCCTGCAATTTTGATGGTCATTTTTATTTTCAGTAATACCTGGTTTCTGTCTGCCTTCAGTCTGAATCTTTATGCACTCAAGTGAGAATGCAGCAAACCAACGTAAAGTGATGCCACGTTCATTGCTGTTACTCAGGAGTTTTTCTTTGTTGCAGTTTTGCTCTTGGCTATCACAGCTTCTGCAGCCCTTCTCAGAGTGCTAGCTCTCTTTTCTCTTTCTATTCTGACTGAAATGTGAACTCAAGCTATTTACCTGCCAACATCTGAGCCCAGAGCACTGTGTTTAACCTGCCAGCTGCATTCTTGATGTTACTTCAGGTGCTAATGATGTCATTGCTTTGGGGAGAGCCATGCAATCTGGACCTGAGGTTTTGGCAGGTCAGTAAAGGAGGAAAGGATTTGAACTGTGATACTCATTAATGTCTTTGTACTTTTAAAAGAACATATTGCATACGAATCATCTTGTGCTAATTTTAGGTCATCTGTCGTGCAAGCTTTCTTAGCAGATCCATATGCTGTTTATTTTTTCTCATAACAAGTCAAGCTGCTGAGCTCTGTTCTCTTCTTTTATCTAGTTTCTCACAGTGGTACAGTTTTACAGATACATGTGCATTCATATGTATGCTATAAATGTTACACTATTACTCTGTGTAATATATATACAGATGCTCACACATACACATACACACACACATATAAATATACAGACTTACAGAAGTCAAGGTGCTGTTGATTTTTTGATAGCAGCAGTTTGACCTAGCAGTACAACACTTGCATGCTGGCTTAGTGATTTGTCTGTGATATGGTTCTTCCAGAGCATACAGGAATTTAATGAACTATGTAATATGTGTTGTTACTCCAGAAGTACCCAGTAGTATTTCTAGAAAGCAGGAATTATAGGTCAGATTTTAACAAATAAGAGATTTTTGTTTACAGGAGCACAACCATGACTGCCATTGTTCCATGTGTATTTATGCTAGTTGCAGTTGTGCAAATCAACTAGGTACCCATGCTTGTAGTTAGAGAATGTTTCCCTTGGAAACATCAGGCAAGAAGATGAGAAAGAAATGCCAGAAGAATCACCAAAGAAATTGAATTCCTGGGTAGGACTCACTGGAGGAGCTGGCAGTTTTCTGTGGGAGGTTCATTTCTGCTCAAGGAAGAACAAAATCTATTTGCATCCCTCCTACAAGATCATGTCCTGTTTCCTTATTTTATACCTCACATGGGCCTGTGTAGCTGTGCCAGGGCTAGGAAACGTTAGGCTCCATGATCACAGAATCATAGAATCACCAAGGTTGCTAAGGACCTCTAAGATCATCCAATCTAACCATTTAGCTATCCCCAATAGTTCCCACTATACCGTGTCTCTCAGTACAACATCTACCCTTTCCCTGAAGATTCCCAGGGACAGTGCCTCAACCACCTCCCTGAGCAGCCCATGCCAGCACTTCAGCACTCTTCTGGAGAATAAATTTTTCTTAACATTCAACCTGCATCTCCCGTGGTGCAGCTTGAGGCTGTTTCATCTCGTCCTATCGCTAGTTATGCAGGAGAAAAGGCCAATCCCCACCTCACCACAACCTCCTTTGAGGCAGTTGTAGAGAGCCATAAGGAATTTCCTGAGCCTCCTCTTCTCAGACAGAACAATCCCAGTTCCCTTAGCTGTTCCCCATAAGACTTTTGCACCAGACTCTGCACAACTGTTGCCCTTTTCTCAATGTGCTCCATGGCCTCGATGTCTTTCTTGTAGTGAGGAGTCCAAAACAGAATGGAGTACTCAAGGTTCAAGGTGGATCAGACACAGGGGAAAACGATGGTGGAGAGGATGCTTGGCTGGGAGCTGACTAAGCAGGAATAGAGAATTTCAGGCACAGCTTCAGCTGAAGGGAGGTCTTTGTAGCCTTCCTCTATGTGACTGTAGGGAATGTTCCGACCCTGAATCTGACTCATTCCCTCCCCTTCTGATGCTCTCATTCTTCTCTGAGCACCATATTGAAGGCTGAGCTGTCGTGGCCTTGGTGGCTCGCTCTTCTTGTTGCCACTTGGTTTGTGTTGACGCGCCTTGGCTTTCAGGTACCTGCAGGTTTTAACTTCGTGTCATATCTTGCCAGGTGGATCTGTTTGAGTGACTCAATTGCAGGCAGCTGTCAGGTGCTTACACAGCATGCTTGTCTGTCTTTCCTCACGGGACTTGAAAGGCACATGTGTTTGTTCAACAGCTTGCTTAGTATCGAGGTGGATAACGTGATAGGAGTTAGCATCATGCTATGGGATGGGTTAGAAAATCTTTGTTTTTGAGACTCATCATTCTTTTGAAGGTCATCATTTGTACTTTTGCAATGTCAGAATAATTAACACTTAGGATTTGTTCGTGTACGCATAGGATCAGATCTTGCAACCAAAACTGGACCAAGCTCTTGCTACTGACAACGATGGAGGCTGTGGTCTGTGCAACAAAGTGTCTGTCTCCAGCACTTTCTATTCAGGCTTCTGTTTTGGGCTGACCTTTGTTTCTAAGACAATGTTAACCACCACGGTCCACAGGGGAAAGACGTTTTCCTGCTTACAGGAAGGCAGCTTTCCTCAGCAGTGGGTGGATGGTAGGCTGCCATCTCCTGGCAGAAGTGGTGTAAATGAGGATATTGGGCTGAGGTCTCAGCAGAGGCACCTACACATCCTACATATCTGACACTTGTATTTGCACCTTTTCCATTTTTTTCTTTATGGCAGAGACCTAAGGGCAATACTATGACAATGCAATAAACATCTTCTCAGAGCCAGGTGGAAGAGCAGCAGGGATGGGCAGTGAAAGATTTTACTTGAGGGTCAGGTTGAACTGCTTCATACTGTGTGGTTTGGCCCTGTTGTGCTGGAAACTGAGGAGAGCCATGAATGAGTGTGAATGGCTTGTTCCCTGAAGCTCTCGCTTGCAACATCATGAAAATCAGCCCTTGCAGTTCTCCTCAGCATGCTGCTCCTTGCAGACGTTCTTGCCATGTGTTTTATCTCGTACTTTCCCCAGCAATGAGCATCATATTCATCATACTGTCCTGTGGACTGAGTAGCATCATGAATCTCTTCTCATGAGATCAGCCTCTCCTAATCTACCTCTCCAAGGCCTGGTCCTCTCCTGATTGTGCTCTTGGCCAGTGAGCCCAATGTCTTGACTAGCATCTCTAGAGTGTGTCTGCAGTGCTCCCATGCCAACCAAATGGGTACCAGAGCTCCGTATTGGAGCTTGTGTGCCATCACTGCTGGAGGCTCCCTCACAGAGAACATGATCTAGGATCCTGAGTGTGTCTGCCCTGCATGAGGCTTTCTGAGCAGGGACAGCATGCTGGTTCCAGTAGATGGGCACAGGCTAGCAGTTGTAGCGTTGTTACTTCATTACTGTTACAGTGTGTAATACAGAGAATAGGGCATAACCTTTGGCCCCTCCGTTAGCATGTGTGTCATTTTATAACTGGTACAAAAATGTGCATCTGAGGTATACCTTCTAGCACTGTTTCTAACTGTAGGTCTGCTTTATCCCTAGCGTAAAGATGACTTGTGAATCTTTTTTTTCTTTTAATCATGCAATTTTCTTAGCCAACAACAATTTCATTTTCAAAAGAAGTTGATTTCTACCACTTCCACAGCTTTCCCTGGAAACAAGGAGCTAGTCCATCTGTGCTTTTCCAAGAAGATTTGAATTGTCACTTGTTCTCTGTAAGTCTCTCCAAGTCAGGTTTCTCTCTCAGATTTTAGAGGACACTATTTTCAAAGCTTTGATGTTCAATTGGATTAGTAGTGACAGCATCAAACCTGTTTGATATCCAAACCAACTTCATGGCTGAAGTTGTGAAGTGCCTCAGCAGGTCATAGCGTAGAGCAGCTGTTTACCGTCACTTGCCATGTTTGGGATGCAGCAGCACAAAGGACAAAAAGTCACCAAGCTGAGTGCACAGTTCGATCATGGCTAAGGAATGACTCAGATTAGAGTTTGCTCAGGAAATGGGGGAATTGGTCTTACTGCTCCTGAAAAATGTGTCTTGACATCTCGAGTTGACCACAGAAGGGCTGGAGGCGTACATATCTGACAGTCTGTTCTTCAGTGTACCATCTCTGAAGCTTGATTCAGCACTTAGTCAGAAGGAGGGTTTCTGCTGTTGCCCCATTGCTTCATCGCTGAGCAGACCTTGTCACCTTCCTGCATGATGTTATTTTGATTGTGGTCATCACAGAAACGTGGTGTTGGCATATGCTCAGTTAGGAAATCGCCATCAGTCATCTCTAGGACAGTCCCCTGAAATACTAAGACCCTCAAGTTTAAACACTGAGCAATTGTGGCCCTGGCTTACTCTCACATAGAAAGGCCACGTGGGGAGTGCTGATTACTTAAAACCATAACTGGACACTCTGCTAACATAGAACCATGGAGAACCATTCATCACTAAATTGTAGCTGCAGCACTGATAGACAGGAATGCACTGATTTGTCTTGGGATTGGAAGAAAAAAAATAATTCATTATTTGAATTCTAGCAGGGAAACATACTGAGAATAACTCTATGCTGCCATTGTAACCCCCGATGTTTTGGGATATTTTTTTCTGATGGATTGCATGTTGGATAATGCCAATGTTAGCCAGGGTGAATCTTCCATAATCATTTTTATACACACCCCTCATTAGGAATTAATTTATTAACAATTTGTTCTTCCTCCAAAGCCAAATTGATATGTTGCAGAAGTTTGTTCTGATAAGCATTGTGTGAACCATCTTGAGAGACGCATCACAGCAAACTTAATATATTAAGTTTGTTTCTGCAGGAGATGTCTGTTCATCTTGAGTTGTGAAAATGCTTACAAATGCTTTCGTTTTTGTACTTTTTCTAGATGTAACATGGCTTTTTTCTGTGTTCACAGCAGAATATGCAGAGCAACCAAGGCTCCTGAAGCTCATGCAGGCCTGTCTGGAGGAACACCACAGTTATTGCATAAATGGGCTCTGTGCTTTCCACAACGAACTGAGGAAACCCATATGCAAGTAAAGAGCATTGCTTTTAAGTACCCTTCTTAGAGAACTGCCAACAGTGGCACTGTTTCTTTGTCTGCCACAGGTTATTGTAATTTTCAGCAAAGCAAAACTTACATGTGCCAGTGAAGTTTTTTCAGGCTTCAAATTTGGCGAAGTCTGGAACGCTATTGGGATACCAAGGAAAGGGGAGGGAGAGGTGTTGACTTGATGGTATCTCACATCAGAACTGTGAAGGGGCCAGGATATTAGAAGATGTCAGCTGAAGCTCCATCACTTCATAGCTATTTCCGTACCAATCAGAACCATGGTGTGCATCTCTAAAGTACTGAACAACTTTGGAGATCACAGGAGCTGAGAATCAGCAGGGCACACAACTCTTTGTCCACACCCTCTGCTATGAGGGTATGTTTAGATGGTATTTGGTGCTGTGACTGCAGTACTGGAGCTAGCTTTAAACTAGATGGACTGGGACAACTGGTAGTCTTGAGGAAGAGGCTCTGACCAAGCACCACATTCAGCCCTTCCTCGTTCAGACTCATTCTACATGGTTTAAAACTACTTAAAACCAACATGTATTTCTGAAATAGAGAGCAGAAGTTCTGAATAGTTTTTACATGGTGTATCTTTATTCTGCAGGTGCCTTGCAGGTTACAATGGAGAGAGGTGTGAACATTTAACACTGAATTCCTATGCGCATAATTCTTATGAGCGCTACATTGCTGTGGGAATTGGCATAGGAATACTCACAAGTGGGATACTTGCAATCATCTACTGCTACGTAAGAAAGAGGTATGGGAAATATGTAACCTCATTGCATTGATCTGATTTATGGGGGGAGGAGAACAGTGTTGTACAACAGCATTGGGAGCACGTTCTTGTCACTGCTGTGTGATCTTAAAGGCACCGATGCTCAGTACTTCTGCTGTCTGTTCTGCCAGTTGTATAGCACAGTACAATTTTACTTAAAGTGGTTTTCACTGGGGCTTCTTCAGTGAGTTAAGCAATTAGATTGAGTTCTGTTCAAACTACTATCGTTTCAAATTTGTCTAATGAAAATGTTACCAATGTCTTCTATTTTAGATGCAGGAAATTGAAATCTCCCTACAAAGTCTGCATGGGAGAGACAGCGCTGTGAAGCCCTGGCATCAAAATGTTTACCAGTGTGTCTGTAAACAAGAGGCAGTTCTGTTTCGAGGGCCACTCCACGCAGTCTAGCAATGCCCCAGCCTCGCTGATGGGATGAAATAAAGAGAATGACAGAGTGAGGGCATGAATGGAGCTCCTGCAGAACTGATGGGCTCCATTTGCTTCTGAAGAAAGACTTAATGTTTTTAGACAAGGTTGCTAGATGAGCGGGTCAGAACAGCGGAGAATACTTGCAGCCTTCTCAACGTTCTCCTGTGCTTCAGATTTGATGAGGGGAGAATTGATTTCTTTCACCTATTTTCAGTCATTTCAAGCCCTACTGGAGTATTCTGCTCTGCTCTTTTCTATCTTTTTTTTTTCCTTCCCCTTTCTGCTCTGGAGGAGAAAGACCACCTGTTTCACAATGGAACTGTATTCTGAACATCACATGCTGATGGGAAGCTGTCTGGATTCTGCTGTCACACTGTTGACTGCCTTTCAAAAGGAACTGGACATCTTTCTTCCAATGGATTATTGAGTGCACTCACAACAAAGAACAGAACTCCTCCCAAACATCATAGGGTGGCTCATTACATTCCTGAAACTTAAAGCAAAACTTGCCTTGCTGCACTCTGATTTCAGAGCAGGACTCTGGTTGCTACAGAAGTTGGAATTATGTTATGAAATTTGCTAGAGCTTTGCCAAGGAAGCAGAACAGCTTTACTACTTTCTCATATTACATGCACAATGTGATCACTCAAATAAGAAGGAATGAAATGAGCATAGGGATTTTATTCCACCCCAGCCAGACAGGTAATTTATTATCAGATGCTTGTTTTGCTTCATCTTTCCTACAGAGAAGTGCAAAGGCAAGAAGAGAAGATTTTGTTCAAAGAGAAGGGAAGAAAATTGGTTCCAATGATGCTGACACTAACTGTGATTTCTCACTGTTATTTGGAGTTGCCTGCCAATGCTAATGGGACTGGAGATGGCTCCCAGATACTTTTTTCATTTCAGCTGTTGCACGTTGTAGGCACATCTTCCATGCTTAGTCATCTACAAGGAAAAAACAGTTAGGTACCTTGGCAATCTTTGTGATTGTTATGGAATGATACAGGCTCCTAATTTAGATGAATTGCTGGGAAGTTTAATTTCTTTGTTGCATGAGTTTGTTTTTACCAAACGATGAATATGATTCCTTTATTAAAACAAAAAACAACAACAACAACAAAACCAACTGAGTATTTATAAGACTACAGTGGTAGTGGTGAAATGTATATGAAAGACTAGGTTTTAAAAGGGTAAATGTGCTTAAGCACTTGGCTGGTCTGAAGTTGGTGGCTTTTCACATGGGGGTTCCTGGTCAGTAGCCTAATCCTGAACTGAAATGCCTGTTAAAAACTGCATATCATCAGGAAAGCACAGTGAGATATCTTCCTCTGAGAAAGTTGTAATTGCTGGTCAGTCCAAAAGAGGAAAAGCTGCAAAACATTTGTCATGCAGGTTCATCATCTTCTCTTGAATGTCTCTTCCTGCTGTCACAGAGTGATGGGTTTTTGTGTATGTGTTTTAAACATTTGTGAATTCTTTCATTGATGTATTTGACTATCCAGTAGTGCTTCTTGAAAGAGGTTTACTTGCTGCAGTGAAATGCTCTGTACCTAGAGAAAGGCATAGCGACTTTTTCTATGTTTTGATAAATATTTAAGCCAACTGGAAAGGAAGGTGTGTTTCAGTTAGGGAGAAAGTTAAACACTGTGCAGTGTTTTCTTATGGTTGCTTTGTGGACTTAGCTCTGTAAGGGCAGTCTGTGAAAGCTGGTTGGGGTTTTAAGCTAATGGAAGAAAAGCTCAAGAGCAGAACACCAGGTGGGCCCCTGCTGTGCAAAATGAGACTTGGTGTAAGTAAGGGAGAGGAAAACAGAGAGACAAAGGTGGGGAGAAGGAAGGGAAAGAATATTTTTGCTTTATATCTCCTATTCTATTTTTCCAAATGGTGCTGAGGCTTCCAGAAGTGGGTTACTCCCCACTTGGGTGCTATATGTGCTTAAGCCCGAACTGGGAGCAGGCTGCCAGCATCTTGCCTGCTCAGGGGGGCATCTTCCCAGATGATGCTTTTTGTCAGTCTGCAGAGTGTTCCCAGGCTGTTGCCTATGTGGAAGAAGAGTCGTTGCTGCAGTTCTGAGGTTTTCATCTGGCCAATTGGGTCTGAGGCATTGCTGCAGGAACGACTCACCATTGAGTGTGGCTCAATGCAGTGACCACGCTGAGGAAATCCATCTGCCTCAGATTTCTTTGTGGAGTTGGCTGTGCTGAGCCCTGCCTCCATCAGTGACAGATGCTGCCAAGCTGGTATTGCCTGCTGCTGCTTACTGTGCAGAAATTCCTGCAGAACTGGCCTTGCAGAGGAGTGGGACCATCTTTCCTGCCTTGTTTATCAGACTCCTGTAATGGCACACAGTTGGAAGCTGCACGTGCCAAGAATGCTCTCCTCTTTGGGAGGAGACCCTGTGATTATTTGGCTCCTGGGCAGTCTTGTGTCAGGCTTGTTGGGGTCAGCAGCTCAGTAGAGCTGACGGACAGACACTGAAGGCTGAGACTACCTTCCCAAAGGGCAACAGCACCTATGTCATGTCTGACCTGGCTGCTGAAACCACACCATGTTTTCTGGCAGTGCATCACTCCAGCCTGTCTGTCCTCAGGCCATCAAGTCCTGTCCCTGCTCTCAGCATCTCAGCAGTATTTGTTGCTACCAATGCAGGGGCTCAGGTACCTGTCCAGTATCCAACACTCATTTCCTTATGAAACATCTATGTACTCTGCAGTTTCCTGACCCCAGCATGGTCCCCTTAGAACAATGGGGTACGTGCCTGTGGAAAAAAATGACTGTCCTTGCAAAATAATATTTGTTGTGGCAGAACAGCTGCTTCTCGTGCATATTAAAATAACTCACCTTAAGAGTGCTGATGGCATAAGGTCACCTAGTGTCAAGTCTGAGCCATATGATACTGGATTGTGTCCTAAGAACACTGCAGTCTGAGCCCATTGCGTGTAGGGTCTCTGATGGTCCTGTTTCTTGGGGGCTCCTGGCTCAGAGCAGAACAACTTCATGGCTGTCTTTAGGAAGGTCAGCTTGACAAACAAGAAATGCAGAGGGAATGTACAGGTTATTGCTAGCATCTCAAAGCTTTGGGTGGCCCTAAGCTGTGATTGAATAAGTGGACCTGACAACAGAGAAACTGGAAGTGCTGTTTGCACAACTCTGTAAGCACTCTGAGCAGTGGATCACTGATGGCACCTGCAGTGATGTGTGTACATGTCACATTAGCCTGGCTCTGAGGAGGAAAGCACCTGTAGAGGTCTCCATTGTACTGTAAATCCAGGAAATCATTCAGAGCTCCTCTATGACCCAGTTAACAAACAAACAGGGGGAAAAAAAGAGTGCAGGTACTCATTAAAAGCTCATTGTAAGTAGTCGTTAATTATCATGACAACAATAAAATCTTGTATTACGACAAGACTTTGGCTGCTCCTACTCTCGCTGAATTGCACAGGAGCAAGAAGGCTCTGTGAGGAGCAGATTTTGGCGAGCAGAAGGACGTGTCACAGAACTGCTGATGCCTCTGGTTTGGGCAGAAGAGGAAGATACTGATTGTGGTATTGCTTGGAGAACTGTTCTTCCTAGCCCATTTTGGAATTGCTGTGCAGATAGAAGGAGCACCCATCCACTGGAGCTCTGGCTCAGACTCCTGGGTGGAGAGCTATGTTTCACTCAGTTCATGTGCTTGTGGCCATGTAGGCAGGTGGACCCCTGCGAGAAAGGTGAGGTTGGATAACCACAGTGAGAAGAGAATGCCTCTTCTGGAGGAAGTCAGATGGAACAAGAGGAAGGAAACAGAATCCTGGGAAAGCAAAGTCATTAGACCTAAGTCCCATAAGGCAAAGCACACATGTAGATCCTAGCCCTCAGGCCACCCACCCTGGACCCAGGTGGTTGTAAGGGAAACAGCAGAGGTGTAGCGCCTGAAAGAGACCAAAAAAAGCCCACCTGGGGCAGGGCTGCTATCTTTTGGGTTTCTCATTAGTGAAAGGATGAAAATCTGTTAGCGCTTTTGGTCACTTTTCCATAGCCCAAAGTCTAGATCTTTTGTCTTTATTGCTTCAGTTGGATAAATGCTCTCATAGAAATGGAAGTCAAAATGTAGGCAGGAACTAGCACAGAAAAATGTCAGTGTAATACCCCCTGTCATGGAGTTTTCCTTGCAGCTCGTTTGCAAATGTTGGTTACGGTCTGTGTCTGGCTGTTACATCTGCATAGGAGCAGCAGTTCCCTCAGCCACCCTGAGGCTGTTGCATAGCCAGTCCGAAAAGATTGCTATATGGATTGATTCAAACAAATTAACATTTCAATTTAAGGAAGAAAGAAAATTAAAAATTTACCAGAGAATTTCACAAACCAGGGCAAAAGCAGTTTTAAATGCTCACTATACAGTTCAGCTCTGAAGTTCCATCTTTTGGGAGTTTTTAATCTGTCTCTTTTTTTTTTTTTTCCCACTGTGACAATAAGGCCACCTCTGCAATTGACTAGGAGCTCTGGGATCTTTCTGCCCTGCTCAGTGCAGCTGTGCTGATGCCTCTCTGTAGCTCTTTCTGAGAAAAGCACAACCAAGGCTGCGACATGAGCAGACAGCACTATGCTTTGCAAGAGCATCTGACTAACTCAGGCAAAGCTAACTTGTTTGACATCATTTCTGTACATAAGGCTATGTCTGTTTGTGTCTCACTGTTATGAAAAATCCCATGGTGAACCACATGTCAGTGACTTCTGCCAGCTGTTTGACAGAGCTCAGTGGCAGATGTGAATGAGCACTGCTCCAGGAAGCTGTGCAATAAATACTAATCTCAATTTGGAAGGCTATGGGCCAACCCATAGGCTGAGCAGGTTGCTGTGGTGTCTTTGCATAATAGGGAGGACCTGGCATGTTCAGTGCATCCTTGGTTTGCTAACCTGCAAGCAGCCAGATCATGCTGTTTTTGGCTAACAGTTCTTGTGCCTTTTTCCGCTCTTTGAGACTATGTCATCATGTGCTCATGTCATAGAATCATAGAACTACAGTATGATTCAAGTTGGAAAAGACCTCTTAGATCACCAGGTACAACCACCAACCTATCCCCTCTATAGCCATTGACCATGTCACTCAGAGCCACATCTCTGTGGATCTTGAACACTCCCCCAAGGACAGTGACTCCACCACCTTTCTGGGCAGCCTGTGTCAGTGCCTCACCACTCTTTCAGAGAGAAATGTTTCCTAACATCCAACCTGAGAAGGTTGAAGGAATGTCTGTATGAAGGATGGTGTTCAGCGAGCAAAACATGAGGAAGGTGCCACGTGGCCTGTTCTTTTTGGAAATCCTCAGCATCTCACATGTTGGTTTGTTGGGTGCAGTCGCTGCAGCTCTGGCACAGCACCTGATCAGTGTTGCTGTTGATCTGCATGCCCTTATGCTGAATAACGCAGATCTAGAAGAATATCCAGCCTGCTTTAATACTGTTTTGTTTTTCCTGTAAGGAAAATGACTGCAGGCACAATTCCCAGCTGAGTGTCTGGTGGCTGTGCCATGGCATCCAATCCTTTTGTTTAACTTCAGTTCAGATCTGGGTCTACACACAGAAGCAAGTCCAGTGATGGCTGTGACAGGTGGAGTGGTGGCTGTGGAAATCTCCAGGTAGGAGTTTCTGCCAATTTCTCTTGCAGATTTCTCACAGCAAGGGGCAGAACTGTGAACTTCAAGATAAGCATGAATATGATGATAAAGGTGAGTTAAGCCTTGCAAAAGGCACTGAGCTTAATGGACCTGTGAGATTTGTAACTTCCAAACTGATCCTGTAAAACAAATCAGGAGAAACTGGGCTGAATGTTACAAAGCAGCAGACTCCCAAGGAGCTGTGGGACTGGAAATTCTCCTGCCCTTTCCCCTCGCCTTGTTAATGCTTCTCCTGACTTTTTTGGTGGCACGTTCGTGATTTCTCATGTGCAAATATGTTTGAATGTTCTCTTCCCTCAGGCACTTCTCAGCCATCTGAATGCCTTCCTCCATCACCAACTGCTTTTTCCATCAAGATTACAGCAGCAAAAAATGTTCTCTATGGGCTGGGTGCTCCCCTGTGCATGAAAAATATGTGCAGGAGCCAAGAAACACCAGGAGTTTCTTCCTGATTGTTCCAAATAAGAATGGACAGTGACGCAGGCTGGGAGGACAACCTTGCACACATACATGCACGTGCTCTGGAACGGG